CGTGTACGTATTTACTCATTTCTTCAAACTTTTTGTTATACTTCTCATCTATTTCTATAAGGGCGTTTTTTACATGTTGTTTAAGGGACTCTATTGCTTTCATAAAGTCAATTTTTTCCACTTCTTCTGTGTTAGGGTGTTCAAGTCCTTCTGTTGTAAGATCATTGGGTTCTGGTGTTTTCATGTTGTTTTTCAGATTGTTGGGTGAATTCTTGCCTTGGCGCTTGCCCATCTCCTCCTATCGATGCTATCTAATGGGTCTTTTAAAACCGGATCAGGTTTCCCTGTTGGCCAGCGGCTTTGCTTACAAAATGCACTCGCTCCATTTCCTGGCTCCTGCCGCGGGCCAAGATCCCTCTCACCACTCAGAAGTGTCTTCAGGAACAGGACCAGGCTCCCCGTTTGCCAGGGACTTCGCCAACGAAAGGCATACCTCTTTGATTTAATTGTAGTGGAGCGACCTGTTCTCAGTGTGGCATGCCAGTCCCCGCCGCTTGCGTCTGCGCGGTGCCGGTCCCCGCCGCTTGCCAAATTATCATATTTAGATCAAAGTTTCCCTTAATTATTTAAAGACCAGGTGTGCCTGATTCCTTAACATGCAGCTACCATCTCTGGAAGAGCTAAGATTACAGGTCTGTGTACCTCCTCTGCCTTATTTGAGATAGTCCTGGGGATCGAACTCAGGGTCTCTGGTATGCCAGGCTGACCATCTACCCACTGAGCTACATATTGTCTATAGCATCTACCCTGTGCAGATGCTTAAATACTTGTTAGTTCACCAGTTCGGAGACTGAGTTGGCTTTGCCTGACAGGTGGAGATCCATCCAAGGTCTTGCTTGCTTGGCCTATGATCACCTCCATTTAAGCAAAGGAGAGTTTATGTCAGTAGATTATGTCCACACAGGCCTTCTCTTCTATATTAAACAAAATCAGTTGATTTATACCCACAAATACATCTTCTAAATCCTGACCACCACAAGTTAATGTAACCATGGCATGAGGTGGGATCTGAACAACATTCTAGTTTTGGGCATAGGGTCCAGCTAAGAATTCTGTGCAGCACCTCACGCACAGCCCTGCTCTGAGGGAGCTCTTTCAGGGTCCTGATCTGAAAAATCGGGACAGGAAGCCAAACAACTGAGTGATGTAATGTGAGACAGGAGACCACCGCTGTGTTCTTTTGCCATTCCAGAGTACATACATCTGGGTGTAGGAGCATTCATTTGTGATCCCAGTATTTGAGAGGCTGATGCAGGAGGATTACCAAAAGTACCAAGCCATCTTGATCTACATAGTGAAAACCAAGCCAGTCTGAGCTACATGGCAAGACACTGTCTCAAAAAACAAACAAACAAAAATAACCTGCAGACTTAAGCAGAGAGTCTGTGTACACACGAGTGCGTGTTACACTCACAGTGCCAGAGCTGGGGCACAAGACTGCACACGTGATAGGTTAGTGCTCTACCACTGAGTACAACCCAACCCTAACAACTGAGCTTATTCTCATCATAGCTCAGGAGATACAAAATCAAAGTGTTAGCAAATTGTTTTGCTTACTTTTATTACTTTTGTCTTTCTTTATTAAATAATTTATGTAAATATTTGTAATTTTTAAAAATCAAAATGTAATCAAACAATTCCCCCCCCAGTTCACTCTCAAACTCATGGACTCTCTTAAACAAAATTTGTTTTTAATTGATACAAAGACATAAAACTGTACAGAATAATGGAGTACCATATGATGTTTTGATACATTGTGCAATATTCAAATACAATTAAACATATTCTCAAACAGGATTTCTTAGGTTAATGACTTTCATTTATGATGGAGAGAGCTCAGTCTGTAAAGTGCCTGCCTGCCATGCAAACATTAGGTCCTGAGTTCAGATCCCATGCACCTGTAACCCAGGCAGGAAGGAGGGAAGAAGGCAGAGACAGGCAGATCCAAGGGTCCCACTGGTCAGACAATCTGACTAAAACAGTGAATGACCTCTGGGTTCACTGAAAGACCCTGTGTGTAAGGTGGAGGAGCTGGAGAGATGCTATACCTGGCCTGACTCCATAGTTTTCACTCAGCCCCTATCCATCATTTGTGTTTCCTTTTCTTGCCCTATGTGAATCTTGTCTGTGAGTTTCCAATGGATACAACTCACATGCAAACTTGGTTTAGAGAAAATCTGGAAAACCAATTTGCACCTGGCATTGTATGTTTGGAAACCTCATTCAGTTTGTTTTGAGATATGGAAATCTGCTAGCTAAAGTGTAAAGATAGGAAAAAAATAAAGATGCCAAGAGGCATGGGAAAGTGCTTCAGTTCACCGAGACTGAGCCTCCTGCAGCCACAGAGGCTAATACTCATGTGTCTCTAATCTTCATTTCACAGACCCGTGGGAACCCACACACCCGTGTCGAGTTACACATGACATATGGTTCCATGGTGAAAGCACTTATTACTTAGCAGAGGACCAGGTTTGACTCCCAGCCCCCATATGGTAGCTCATAACCATCTATCTCTCCAGTTTCAAGGACATGATGCCCTCTTCTGAACTCTGCAAGCACCAGGCATGCACGTGATATACATGCAGACATACAGGGAAAACACGCATGCACATACAAATAAAAATAAACCTTTAAAAACATTTTAAGGTGTAGAAAGACACTCGGACCAATCTTTGGCCTCACACATGCAGAGAGAGAGAGAGAGAGAGAGAGAGAGAGAGAGAGAGAGAGAGAGAGAGAGAGAGAGAGAGAGAGAAGACCAAATAAACACACAGCAGAAAGAGAAGAAGGAAGGCAAGAGAACTCCTTTCCTGTCACCCTGTGAAAAGATCTGACAAAAATGCCCTCTAGGGAAGATCAAGACACTGTTCACAGCAAGCATTTAAACTAACCCTGAAAAACTAAAGTTGTAAGAGGTTGAAAGGCATCCTGAGGACAGGGCACTCACTTAGCAAAACAAAGACTTAGTTTGGCCCCCATCACTGCAACAAACACAGTAAGATGAGCTTGGTGATAGCTCAGTGAGTGAGTACCACTTGTCATGTGAGCACGGGAACCTGAGTTTGTTCTCATGTCAAAAGCTGGACATCAGTGACTGTGATAACTCTGCTGGGAGAGGTAGAGACAGGAGAATTGCAGGTCTCACTGATAAGTCAATCTAGGGGAACAGGCAAGTTCCAAGTTCAAGGAGAGATCCTGTCTCAATAAAGAAAAGAAGAAATAATAAAGAAAAATGGAGGGAGGGAGAGACGAAGGGAGTGAGGGAGAGAGGGAGAGAGGGAGGCAGGGAAAGAAAGGAAGAAAGAAAGAAGGGAGGGAGGGAAAAGGAGAGGGGATGGGAGGGAAGAGAGGAGAAAGGAGAGGAGAGGAGAAATGAAGGGAGAGGAGAGGTGGTCTCTGTGAGTTAAAGCCCAGCCTGGTCTATGGAGTGAGTTCCATGCCAGCTAGTGAGCTCCTATCTGAAAAAAGAAAAGCACTTGCTGCTCTGAAAGAGGACCTGGATTCCGTTCCCCAAACCACATAGAGGCTCAAAATTGTCTGTAACCCCAGTTCTAAGGAATCTGACACCCAATCCTGAACTCCGTAGACAGTGAGCACACACAGGGTACACAGATGTCCATGCAAACAAAACACTCATATCCATATCAATAGATAAATTTTTTTAATCCTGATTTTTTTTTTTAAATAGTGTAGGGGAACACAAAGAGAAGGTAAATGAGGAAAACAAGCTTGGCCTGAATCGGTGACTGATGAAGCCAGCCATGAGTAAATGTAACATCATTTAGAACTACTTGAAGTTTTCCAGACAGTTGTAAGTCCCTGCTCTCTAGAAGCTGACAAAACAGTCAGGCGTCCTAACAAACAAAAGTACTATGCTATGCAAGCCTCCAGGACAGCAAGTGACCTGGGACAGATGGAGTGGAAGGCATCACTGCAGTCCCCTTCGACCAGGGCCTTTACAGACATCCCAGGCCAAAGTGCAGACAGGCGGGGCAGAAATGGCACCACTCTGCCCTTTGCATGACTTATTTGCAGCCACACTGGTGACATGCACAAGTCACAGAGTCCAAACACCTGTGCTGGTTTCCTGCTCCCGAGTCCCAGCTGCTGGGAGCCCTCAACCAGGTTCTGTACATCTCTGCTCCTCGGATTCTATATATGAAGCAGGAACTGTATCAGTCTATACTTAAGGTGGATGGTGTCGAAAGTCAAGAAGTTAATCATTGTGCAAATGCTTAGAAGATAGTTTGTGGATAATAAGTGTTACCTATCACCGATGCAACTGTCATCTCCACCCAGAATAATGCCACATGTTTTGAAAACCTCAACTCATTTATTTGTTGCATATTTCCTTTGTTAGACTAAAAATTTGCAGAAACTACATTTTTAAGGAAGACTTTATCAAAGGGGGGAGAATGCCACAAAGCACATGTGGAGGTTGGAGAACAACTTTGGTTTTCTCTTTTCACCTTTACAGATATCCTGGACATCACAATCAGGCCATTAGGTTTATACAATGAGCATCTTTACCCACTCAGCCATCTGGTCAACCCTGTAGAGACTATATTTGATTTGTCTCTATATTCCCAGAACCTGGCCTAAGTCATACCCATAAGAGAGCCTGGTGGCAACTCCCTTTCCAGGTGGCAAGGGAGGAAATACCAACAGCCAACTCACAACCTCTTTATTGTCAGTTATCTGCTCCGGTCCTGCCATTTGGGGCTTCCTTTCCCATCCTTCCTGGTCTAGTTACTGTGCACCAGGGATGCTCACTGACTAGCTGTGCTCTCTGCTCCCTTCCCTGAAGGTTTTTTGCTCTTCCTAGGTAAAATGCTGCCAAATAAATGAAAGGGTTTTAAATTTTTTAGACATCATCTACTTCTGGGCTGAAGAGATGGCTCAGCAGTAAGAATACTAGCAGCTCTTTCAGAGGACCGAGTTCAGCTCCCAGCATCTACATGGTAAATCATAACTGCCTGTAGCTCCATTTCCAGGAGTCTCATGGTCTCTTCTGGACCCTGTAGGCACCTGCACAAATCTGGTACACATAAACTCACACAGGAATACACATATACACACTCAAAGAAAAATCAGTCAATGGAGATGGAGGAGAGGTTAGATTTCTAGATCACTGGTCCCACTCACATCAGGAGTTGTAACCAGCTCTACAAAAGACATAAGTGGGCAATACGTCTGCCAGAGTGTGGAGGTTCAGGCCTGAGAAAGCCCTCCAAACATATTGGATTATCAGATGACACCACACTATGCTACTCTGGAAGTTGAGAAATGACTGGAGAGGAGAAGGAAATGCAATGAGCAGGCATGGGGGCAGCAGCTTTCTGTGAAATTTTGTTGTGTAAACTACAAGGTTTCTTTCTCCCTAATGGAAGACATTCTCATTTACCCCCAAGACTAGAAATGGAGAAACATAACAACGCAGAGAACTGAGAACTGGGAAGATACAAAACCACAAACTGTTAGACTTTAAAGATGAAGCAAAGGAGGTCAGAGATAAGTTCCCCTGTGTACAACATGCCCTCTGGCCTGAGCCTTTAGGCACGTGATGGAACATAGTCCTGATCTCCACAAGAGTAGGGATTGCTGGCAGATCATTAACTAACTGCCCAGGAACAAAAGGAAACTCAGATCTCTGAAGAATTCCCTTTACTCGTTTCCCCTCACGTTATCACAGATACGATAAGCCAAGGCTATATGCTCAACTCTGAGAGTGTAGGAGCTCTTTGCTGTAGAAAGGGTGGCAGATGGGAATCCACAAAGCAGAAATAGATACTGGATAAATTGTACTCAGAGGGCAGCCTGGACATGATTTGTTTAAAGATCAAAGTCTCATGAAGCATGCCAGTCCTTCTTCACAGTCTGGGCTGGGTGGTGAAAGCTTTGTCCCAGAGTTGGAGCCCAGAAGGAACACAGAGTTGTCTATGCTTGGAGTTGCTGCAAACAAGATCAAGAAGACCAATAAGCACAGACTCTTAGGCCCTCTTCTGGCCTGCAGGCATACACACAGACAGAATATTGTATACATAATAAATAAATAAATATTAAAAAAGATAGGAATGGCAGCACACACCTTTAATCCCAGCACTAGGGAAGCAGAGGCCAGCATATCTTTGAGTTCAAGGCCAGCTAGTCTCTAGAGCGAGTACCAGGACAGCTAGAGCTGTACAGAGAAACCCTGTCTTCAAAATAATAATTATGATGATGATGATGACAATGATGAAAAGACCATTGTACCTTCACTATCCTACATAGAACACTTAAGCCTTGCTCCTCCCTTGACTACTTTGGCTGCCTTGTGACAACTTAAAGAAACTCCATTTTATAACAGACATCCATCTTGATACCCACTAGCCTTTGGTCTCTGACTCCAGTCCCCATAAGATACATTCCCTATAAGATACTGAGTAACCCTGACTCAGTGACCCTCACCCAAAAATGATTACTTGTTATGATATGACTACGTGCTTACACAGATAACAAAAGATTGTTTTGAGTTGCCTTAAGCACTTGACAGAAAAGATCAATTTTTGTTTGCTTGAGTAGATTTTGAAGATCTTCTTCTGGCTTTCACCTTTAAAAATCCTTCCCTCACCCCCTTCTCATGGCAATCTCAATTTTGGCTCAGAGACTGTTTATCCTGCTAGCAGTAAATCAATAAATCTTTAATTATAATTAAATTGAGTTTATGGTCTTTTTCCAGAAGTCACAAACTCTATAACATTTGGAGTACCCAGTGAGATCCCTGAGGGACCCCAGACTTAGGGTTAGAGGCCTGAATAGTCCACCAATTCCCAGCTCTCCCCTCTCCCACCTTGCCCCATGTCCACAGGAAGTAGCCAGGCTTTAGCCGGCACCCCTTTATCCAAGGAGTCTAAAATATTTGGCTGAGGGGATTCACCTCAATTCACTGGCACCCCTTTATATAAAAAGTCTGGATTGTTTGGCTGGGGGCTTCACCCCAGTTCCTGGGATAAGCTCTCTCCCCTTGGAGTTGCCTCAATCCAAACTCCACCTTCAAAAAGCCCACCAAACAGTAACCCCTCCTTAGGGAAGGTCAAGACTGCTCCCACAGGCTATTTAAACTGCCCCTCAGAGAATGAACATGTGGTCTCCGGGTTTCACGTGGTCTCCCCTTCTCTCTCTTCTCCTCTCCATGTTTTCCTGGGGCTACCTGGGAGTAAGATCATCTATTAAACATGGGCATTTTTTAATTATTTGTGTCAGCAGAGAAGTTTCCTGGCCAAAAGAGAAAATATTTAACATAAAGTTCAAAGTCTCTTCTGAGATTCATGCAATCTCTTAACTGCAATTTCCTGTAAAAATCAAAATCAAAAACAGATCACATACTTCCAACTGTGTGATTATTAGCACAGGATATATATTACCATTCCAACACGTAGGGAAGGGAGCATAGTAAGGAAATACTGAACCAAAACAAGACCAAAAATCAGCTGGAGCAAACTCCAAACTGCATCTCCATGTCTTGTGTCAAACTGCTCTTCAGATCTCCAGCTCCTTCCAGCTTTGTTGACTGCAGCACACTTCTCTCTCTTGGGCTGTTAACAGTTCTCCTTGGCAGGTATCCCAGGGCTCTGGCATTTCTAACATTTTAGGGTCTTCAAAGCAATCCAGGCTTCACCTTCACAACTTCACACAATGGCCTCCCTAAGCCTCCATTCAGTGACACCCCTAACACACACCTGGCCTCAGTTGCTTTCCTTCCTTCTGTCCTTAACTCCAGAACCACGTGGCTGAAGCTGCCAAGTTCTGCTGCTTACTGGGACTGAAACATGAACCCTTTGTTCAATAACATCTTCATCATCTTTCTATTTTTGATAGTTTCCTTCACTTCCTAAGCTTGGATGTTCTGAAACTCACTCTGTAGACCAGGCTGGTCTCACACTCAGAGATCTGACAGCCTCTCCCCTCCCAATGCTGGGATTAAAAGCCTGTGCCACCACCGCTTTGCCTAAATATTTCTTTAATTCCTTTGCAAAAGTTGGAAATTTAGCTGGGTGGGATTTTGCCCTGAGGTCACCACTCCCCTTACTCCATTTCTTAATCTGTTCATCTCCTTGAATACAGGTCTTAGCTCCATTCCACTTCCCTTTCTCCTCAAATTGTACATATTTTTTATTTTTTTTCTTTTTATTCTTTTTTTTTTGCTGCCATTTTTTTTATTGAGAAAAGGAATAAAAAAGTTTCCGCCTCCTCCCAGCCTCCCATTTCCCTCCCCCTCCTCCCACCCTTCTCCCCCTCTCCCCCCTCCTCTCCCTCTCCCTCTCCAGTCCAAAGAGCAGTCAGGGTTCCCTGCCTTGTGGAAAGTCCAAGGACTCTCTGATCATGATGTACATTTTTTTTATTTTTACTTGCTCAGCTTTCTTCTTTTCATTAGAAATCTTCAATGGAGTTAACATTAATAATCACACAATAGAATCTATACTAGGCTGTTTTTGCTATGCCCAGATCACAGAGTCCCTCCAAAACCAACTAGGAAATGAAGTACTGTATATAAAAGCAAAAGGCCTTTATTCTTATACAAATTTGCAAATTTGAACTCTCTGTGTGTCCAACATATTGGCTGATCAGAGAGTCTCAAGATCAGTAGGGGTTTGGTTTTTTTTTCTTTTTTCTTTTTGTTTTGTCTTGTTTTTCCAAGATGAAGTTTCTCTGTAGCTTTGGTGCCTGTCCTGGAACTAACTCTTGTAGACCAGGATGGCCTCAAACTCACAGAGATCCACCTGCCTCTGCCTCCTGAGTGCTGCAATTAAAGGCATGTGCCACCACCACCTGGCTGGGGTTTGGTTTTTACAGGAAAGGAAGGGTGAGGGATTTCTAAGGTTCAGGATCCTTGATTGGCTGACACTTGTCTAGGGGTGTCCTAGTGAAAAGTGATGGGTGTGTGCAGGCAGGTGATCCTGTCTACAATGGTGGGAACAATAGGAATTTCCTTTGGATGGTCTGTTCCTGGATAGTGTCTGGATAGTCTCAGTTTGTGGTCTTTCTTGGAACCAGGTAATTAGGATAAACTAATTTTTTTACCCTAGACTCTGGCCTCTATGAGCTTGTCATGATTGTCATGTTTTGAAATTTCCTCTGCCAATGGAATTAATCCAAATCTCTTCACTTTAGCCTCAGGCTAGAATTTTAGGATAAGAGCCAAAAGCAGCCACATTCTTCACCAAAATATCACGAGAACAATCTCCAGTCACATATTATATTCTTCTCCTCTGAAACCTCCTGAGTTCATCAAATCATACTCAGCACCACTGTCTTCCTTGCTCCTCCTAGTCTGAACTATTAAGAAGCACTTAAAGCACTCAACTGTTTTTCTAATCCACAGTCCCAAGGCCCATATCCCTTCAAAGAAAAGCACGGTCAGGTCTAGTACAGCAATACCCTAACCCCTAGTACCAAATTCTGTCTTAGTTAGGGTTTCTATTAATATTGTGAAGAGACACCATGACCAGTGCAACTCTTACAAAGGAAAAACATTTAATTGGGGTGGCTTACATTTTCAGAGGTTTAGTCCACTATCACCAGGTTGTGACACGGTGGCAATCAGCAGATACGGTGCTGAAAGTGCTACATCTTGATCTGCAGGCAACAGGAAGTGGTTTGAGTGTCACACTGAGCAAAACTTGAGCAAAGGAGACCTCAAAACCTACCCCCACAGTCACAGACTTTCTCCAACAAGGCCACATCTATTCCAACAAGGTCATACCTCCTAATGGTGCCACTCCCTATGAGTTTATGGGGGGCCAATTATATTCAAACCACCACAGCTGGAATATACCAAAAACCCATTTAAGATCTATAGCATATTTGTAAGATTGCAAATACAAATGCTTGAATGTTTGTTTTAACAAGTTTTAAATATCAAGGCATCGAACTTCATTTCTTCTCTCTTGCCACCAACTCTGCATCTTTTCCTCAACTGTTTAGTGGAAACCTGTTGGAAACCGCAGTCCCTCACAAGTATACTAATTCTGTGAGCATCGGCTATGCAATAAAGACTTGGTCTAGACTACAGAATTCCACAGGGAATGGAGTCGCTGCCTATAAGATGCTGACAGCTCACTCACCCATTTTTCATTCCCCGTCCATATAGCAAGTACTAGACAGGAGGATAGTGCTGGCTACTTCCACAGGACCACAGAAGTGATGCATAAAACTGAAATAAAGATGGAAAAGGACAAATTAGAGTGTTCTAGAAGCAGACGCCCAAGGGCTCAGCACAGTACAGAGCAGCGACATTTAAGGAAACGTCATTTAGAGGAGGCTAGAGCACTAATAATGGAGTAGGGTAGGGAAGGCGTTTGCAAAGAAAAGGCTGAAGAGTGAGATCTCCTATGTGGGGAATCAGACTGACTAGATGGAAATGCATTCTGGGGTGACAGAAAACCACTAAAAGGCTGTAATAACGTAGAATACCATACAGACTACCTGTATTGTAGACAATGAGTTAGGGATGATAACATTAAACTGGAGGAGGGAAGGGACTCGGGGGCAAGCCTGGTGTGGTGATCTACAGAAAGAAACCCTAGTTTGGTAGTCGGAAGATGAAGAGAGACTAGACAAGTCCAGAGACATGGAGGAGGTAGTATTGTCAAAACTGAATGATTGGGACCCAGACCGGTGAGCCTCAAGGTCCCCTGTAAGGGAGCCCGGGCACCCTCAGCCTGTGCTCCAGGGGCTCCTGTGCTCTCCTGGATCCTGCACTGCCTGCCCCGTTCTTCCTTCTGTCCCTGGATAATTGGGCTACCAGGCAGCCCTGTTTAGGTGCTGAGGAGTTCCATCTGGACGGGTGAGTGTGTGCTATCCAGGGGCGATTGTCCCGGAAGAGAGCACAAACCCCCCTCCCTCAGCTACTTCTGCAGGGCTGTCTTTCTTACACACGACCCCTTCCACCCTCCAAGCCTGCGTTTTCTGCAAGGTCCTTTGCTCAGGAACAGTTTTCTGCTCCTACACTAAGGCTTCCAACCCAGAGTGGTGAGTGCCTGCCTACATGTCAGGCCTCAAGGACCCCTGAAATGGAGCAAGCGCACCTTCAACTTGTGAGGCAGGGTGTCCTGTGTTCTACTCGTCCCTGCCCTGCCCCCCAAGTTCCTCCTTTTTGTCCGCGGGTCATTGGACTACCAGTCGTCCATGTTTGGGTGCTGAGGAGTTCCAGCTCGACGGGACGGGCGCTGCTTCTACACTGAAGAGATACACCCAGACACTCAGTCACAGCAAAGACTGGACCAAGACAGCAGGCCTCTCCTGGCTCCATTTGAAGGAGGAGATGGGAAGGCGCCAATGCAAGACTTCCTCCAACAACCTGAAAGGCAACATGACATCACCAGAAACCAGGGATCCCGAAATAAGAAAAATTGTCCACCCTACTCCAGAAGAATTAGAAGAAATCGACTCAAAAGTGAATTATATGAAAATAATAGAAGACCTTAAACAGGAGGTGAAAAACTGCCATAAACAATTAGAGATTACAAACAAAAAGGTAGAGGAAATGAATAAATCGCTCAAAGATACCCAAGAAAACCAAGAGAAACAAGAAAAAGCAATCAAACAGGTAAGGGAAGCGGTTCAAGACTTGAAGAATGAAATGGAAGTAATGAAGAAAA